TCCTTCCCTTCTTACTGCTTTGCTAACTGCTGTTATCCCTGTTTGTTCTCTTATGCAATTTGCCATCTTTGCCACACAATTCGCAATTAATTAGAATGGTCTCAATGGACGGTGTTTTTTTTTCTTTTTTTTTTAGTTCCAACTACACATCTCAAAGGCTCTATACCGTTAATTAAGAATTATTGCAATTTCTTTTATTCTTTAATTTTTTTTCTGAACAATGCGAAATCATTCAGGTTTGCTGTTGAAAATGAAAAATTGCATTCAAAAGACAATAAAAATAATAAATACAATCAATAAATAAATTTTAACAAACAATTGTGTTGTGTAATAAATTTAAAGAAAAAGAAGATATGCGCTTCTATTAAACGCATTTAGATCATGACGCTCGGCAATTAAGCATTTCTGTTATTCTCACACAAATGCAAGGAATACCTTACACTCGAATGGAAAATAGTCTTCGAAGCCCAGGAAATCGAAGCGATCCCAAACCATTGCATACGAATGTGCAGCTCTTAGAATTTAAATTTTCTGTGCATTTTTCCAAGCGTTGGCCATTATGACATTTGGTGGATCCAACACAAATTGATTGGACCAGAAGATCAATTCATTGATGCATTGATCAGATATTCACTTTGCGACAAATCTCGCAGAAAGCCCGTAGAAGGAGAGTCCCTGATTGTGAAACTATCATCAAAGATCAAACTGTCACTCATCAAAGTTACCCATCATTCCTGTCCTGCTTTATAGCACGCAGGCATGAACAATGACAACAACTGATAAATGATGGCGTTAGGAGTATTTGTGAGAGGTTTTTCGTAGGACGTATGATCCTTTACGCATAGGCAAATGCGAATGCCGAAGCCATCAGTCCAACGGCTGTACAAGATATATGTCGAGATAGACAAAGTTCAACGAATCAAGAGACAGCCGTTATGCTGGCTAGGTCATGTGATCCAGACGGATAAGAATATTCCAATTATGCAATCGGAGGAAGAGGAAAATCGCTCCTTCCTTGGAAAGACCAGGTAGATAAGGACCGGGCTACACTTTGTCCTTCCAACTGGCGCCCAACAGCGAAAGGACGAAATGAATGGCACATTCAGAACTAGATTTATAAGCAGCGATAAGTCTTAAGGACAAATTCCCGACTTTTCCTTTATTTTGCCCGAATAAATGCAAAATATCCTTTTCGAAAGCACGATTATGAGAAAGTACAGAGCCAAACTAAGGACTGATCTTGCTTCAAAGGTGCTAAATCTAGACCTTCTTAATTGGTTTCACTGTCCCAAAGGGATGCAGAGTTTGAAAAAGTTACAACTACTGGAAAGTATACTTTCTTTGCTCTGTTGGCTTCGATCCTAAGCATCGTTACATAACAGCCAAACTACGCCATCAAACCGATCCGATTAGAGCAGATTTAACTTATATATAGACTATAGTAGAGTTCAAAATTCCAAAGATTCTACAAAAAAAAATTAATAACTCATTCACATGATTGGATTATTTTTCGAAATATTTCCCTTCGTAGTCGCTTGGACCAATTTTCAGCCGCCTTCACCTAGATCTCCTGAGATATTGCACACTTGCGATGGCGTGTTTCCAAAGCTCAAGGTATTTCCTTTTTTTTTTTTGGTATGACTTGGACTCTCTCCCTCAGCGACTTGACTTTCATCTGCACAAACTTCACAAAATCTAGAGACTCTAATGGTTAAAGCATTTAAACAAACCTTGAAACATTTCTCGAGATTGTTTCACTTAGGCAACACTGTTGCGGTGTGCTCGCCATCATTTCCTGTCGTTTCTTGTCGTCTCATTTTATTGACGATCATGTAACGTAATTTACGATGCAGAAATGAAAGCAGATAACGACTAGCGGTCAATTTGAAACTGTTGTGGTAGAATTGGAAAATAAGCCATATTTAGCTAGGAGTTTCCAAAAAAGCGTTACCCAAACACAATTTAAAAGAGGAGTTAAAAGTTATTGTCAGAAAAATTAATGCGGTTATAAAAATGCAAATGTTTCCTGTTTCATCATTTTAACCATTTTAGGTGTGAAAAGATTTCGAAATTAAAGTGAAGAGAACATGATAACAAGCAAGAAAAAGTCAAGAGCAACCGGCGGAGGGGTTTGCAAGCAGATGGTATTGACTGTTCTAGAAGAAATTGTTCATAATTTTATGCTACTCGAAGAGCTGTTAAATCCATCTGGTGCTATATTTGGTGTGAAAGATGATGACAATGAAACACAGTGCGACATTAGCAGCAACAATAGGTTAACAGATTTAGACACAGTTCTTGAAGAGAAGGAATCTTCTCGAGTAGACGTTCCATCAATAGATTATATGCGCCAATTGCTGGAATTTCGAATTTCACCTCGAGAAAAAAGGCAACAAAAAATAGCAGATCTATATGTGTATTTGTTGCTTTAAAAGTCTACCATAACCATTTATAGAAGAGAATATAATTCTTCATCGCTTTCGCTTGAAAAAAGCAACCCTTTTTTATTCAAAAATCGGTTTTATTGATTTAAGGGGCACACCTAGTGTGACATTTCAAAAAAATCGATCTTTTTTCATATTTCCTTAGATGCCTTTAAAAATAACATATTAAAATTTCTAATCGATATTTCAAATAGTTTTTGAGTTATAGCAATTTAAAGAGCAGTCGCTCGGCATCTAGAAATTCTCATTAGCTACGAGTGTAAAAGATCAATTTATTTTTAAACGCGTTTTTCTCGAAACAGCATTTTCCGAATTTGCTGCAGTGATTACTCAATAACAAATGATCCGATCACTATCGAATTTTTGTTACATGTTTTATATATAGTATAGTTCTCCGTATAATGACCTATCGATTTTCGATCTGACCAAAATTTTGGGTAAAATTCGACTATTTTTTTTAAAACGCCGCCATATTTTCAATTTTTGGTTTTTTTATCGTAGGTCTTTGTACAGACAATATTATCTTATCGAGAATTTTTTTTTTTTAGATTTCATCCACGGAGCAGGCCGGAATCACTGCAGCAGTGAAGGACCTTTTTTCGCCCCGTTGGAGATCGACTATGACTGAAAAAATATTTAATTTTTTTCTTCAAAAATTTCTTTGTATATTCTTGAAACATGTATAAATATATTCTTAAAATTTTGAAATAATTGCTAAAGTATTTTTTTTAATAAAAATTCCCAAAAATTACCTTTTTTAGGCCATTACACTAGGTGTGCCCTTAAGCCAACATCTTAGCTTGAATATATGATTTGAATATCAAAAATATAACTATAAACTTAAAAACCGTTATTTCACAAACAGGTTTACCAAAACAGAAAATTTCCCGTGCACAGGGCTTCCGTTTGCTCTCAATTTACAACGTTTTGTCTGCATTGCTTGTACAGAATACCTAAGCAAAGACGAAGCGATAAAAGTGACGATGAACATTGACGATTGTCAGCCAAGCCGTGGACGATATTCAGCATAAGGCCGAATATCATTTTTTAGAACATTTCGAACTGGTATGAAACTAGTACATAACTGACAGAAATATAACAATTGCCATCTGTTAGGACATCTTCGTGCTAAAACCACCAGTCATGTGTTTTGAATAAAGTAAGCAGGCGAAAAAGTTCAACTTACTTGGTAAGATAACTTTTGAGTAGTTTTTAAGTAGTTGCTGGGTAGTTGATTTTATTGATAAATATTTTTATTTCTATTCAGATGAGCTTGCATAGCAGTATGAATATTTTTAAATTTATGATGAAGTTGCCAAAAATGTATACCATACATACCACAAATATACGTGTAAATATGTATACACAAGGAGTTATTCCGTTCAACTCTTACCGGGGTGTAGTTGGTATCATCAAATACTCGCACATAAACCATAAAGGTAGGCTTAAACGTGAGTAGACATGTACTCGTGCACATAAATAAATATACTTAAACATACTAACATGCATATTGCATATACATAATAATGATATACAATCGGGTTTGAGCCACCCCTAGGGCAGGCGCATTAGCCACATACATAAGCTTATACATATATACCCATATATACATGATATATGCATGTTAAGAGCACATAGGTGAGCAGAGCGGTGAACAATGAAATCAGATGTTAGTTTTCTCAGCAGCGGCAGCAGCGCCAGGTATTGGGAGGCGAACGCGCAACCGCAGCCAACTTCAACACACACGGCCAAATACGGCTAAAATATGGTAAGGGGAGACCGACAGCTTATGCGGCTACAAAGCATTAGCACCGGCACCCAGTCTAGGGGTTGAAATGTACGCACACACTTACAGACATACGAACAAACGGAGTTTGAGGCGCGCGCACACACAGCGGCAGCACAGAGAGGTGCGCATGTGTGACGCTAGCAGAATTATTTTATCATTCATTGTGTGTGTAAATTCAATTCAACTATTTTTTTCTTCTCATTTTGTTAAGTGCGTATGTGTGTATCTGTGTGCAGCTAAAATAAATTCAATTTATGGTGTATTGTTGTGCAGCAGACTTTGGTACTCCCATTAATGTACTTTACACACAAACGCACACACACACACATGTATTCGCTTATAAAGGTACAACAGGCGTCAGCGGAGGCAGAGCGGTAGAGCGCCAGGATAATATTTTTCTATAGCTTCAGTATGTGTGTCTGTATGTTTGCATTATGCCACAACACCAACAGTCACCGAAGTCACTTCCTGCATTTTTTGTATTCGTTTCTTTTTTTTTTTTTTGTAAATAGATGAATAGAAATTCGGTGTTCGACGTTCAACGCTCAGTGCTATAGGTGTTTGTGAGCGCCTTGTCGTCGCAGCGCTGCTTATGTTACGTTACTTTGCGGTGTGGCAAAGGCAAGGTAGGACGTTTGTTGCCAGCGACGCCCCATGACATTTCATTGCAAGACATCGGGCACGCGACAACACAAGCAACACAGCTGTCCTACCAACAGGACCGACCGGATCAGGACACTCACCTCACGTAACGTGGCAAGCCGAGCGCGGAAGCATAGCAAAGAAGTAGTAGCAGCAGCAGTGAAGTCAAATTCAAATTTCGGTGCACTTTGGAAAAATTTTCCGATCTCGCAACGGTGTATTCGTAAACGGGACAGTGAACGTACTAGTTGTGGCGCGAAAGCATTGAAAATAAAATAAAGACAATACAATTTTTTCGCAAAACAAAATAAATCAAAGATTAATAAAGCGAGTGAATAGTGTTTAGTGCAGGGAGAACGCTTAGTACACCGTTAAGAGTGCAGCGTAGCACGTGCGCTAATTAGCAGGAGCAGCAAAAGCAGGAGCGCTCTTATCTGTCGCGGGCGCCCACACAGCTTGCTTATGGCGCTTAGCATACTCAGCTACAACCTGCCGCAAGGTTTAAAAATGAACAACAACATTAGCAGCGCGACCAAAAATAGTAACAGCACCCAATCTGCCAGTTCGCCTACACGCGATGAAAATGCGCCCAACATCATTGCCAGCAGCAACGACGGACGCACAACCATCAGCCTTGGCAAGTCCTTCAGCCGCATAACCATGCAAAATGTTTTAAGCGAGAACAGCAGCAATGCGCTGAATATCAGCAACAATAGCAGTGTCAACACGATCGTGCGAAAGATCAAAGATTTCGGCATGTATGGTAGCGTGAATAATGCAGGCGCGCTTAGCAATACCCTCGCTGGGCGCAAACGTACCGCCAGCGAATCGTGCAAAGTGAAATCGGTCGTTAAGGCGAATGAAAACAAAAGTGAAAAGTCCAAGACAGTCATTAAACGACCAAAACTGGCTAACAAAGATGAGAACGCACGCGAAAAACCGGCCAAGCCGGCTGCCAGCAAAGCCGCGACAGGAACAATAAATGCAAAAAGTGTAAAGTCCAACACGCCAGGCGCGAAAAAACCTGCAGGCACACCCGGACGCAAAGGCTTACCGCTGCCACAGGCGGTGGCACGCCGTAATGCGCGTGAGCGTAATCGCGTTAAGCAAGTGAACAACGGTTTTGCCGCCCTACGTGAACGCATACCCGAGGAGGTGGCAGAGGCATTCGAGGCGCAGGGCAATGGGCGCGGCACCGTTAAGAAGTTGAGCAAGGTGGAGACACTGCGCATGGCTGTCGAGTATATACGCAACTTGGAGCATCTGCTCGGCTTTGATTTCCCTATCGGCGGTGATCGTGGCCTTTCGCTGATGCATGCCGGCTCATCAAGCGATGATAGTTTCACCTTCATTAAAGACGAATTCGACGCACTCTCACCGCCATTAGATGATACCAATTTCGATGACAGCCTGAGCCATTATGATATGGATAAATATTTCAATAACTCTGACTTTGGCAATAATAATCAAATGATCTCACAATCGGGTCCGAGTTCAACGGATGCAGACGCCTATGAATTGGACTTGCTACCAAGTCTAACGACCATCAATGGTATGCAGTATATGCGCATACCGGGCACAAACACATATCAGCTGCTCACCACCGATCCGCTCTTCATGGCCAATGCACCACATTCACCACCAAACTCGAGCCTTGACGAGGAGTCTTTTCAGGCTTTAATCGACACTAATTGCCTAAGTCCTGTCGCAATAACAACATCATCGCCGCATATTTCGCCTTCGTCCACAGCCATGTCGTCAATTAACGCACCTGCAGCTGCCACATCTGCTACAACGACAGGGGCGGCGACCGCATTACAACAGCGACACACGACCGTCGTTGCGGCAAATAGGGTAGCAGCGGTCGGTACCAGCCCATTATCGCGATCGCCACCAGTGCTCTCATCCCCAACGCAACGCTCCGCTACATTACATCAGCAGCAAAAGCAAGAACAACAAAACCAGCACCAGCAACGGCCTGAACAGTGTCAGCCACAAACACCAACGCATCAAGGGTCGACCAACTTATCACCTGCCGATAATGATGTACTTTTATTACATCAGACGTGTGCCACAACGAGTGCCATCGCCGATGAAGTGGATGGCCGCATAGGTAATGAGTGTAGCGCTGGCACTGCTGCCAATGAACGCCAACGGTTTGGCTTAGCATTGACAACCCCTACGAGATTGTCGCTGGAATCGCCGCACGCGATTAAACAGGAATTTAATGACACATTAGTCGACTTTGTCCCCGCCAATGCATCATCATCGGCAGTGTACTCCTCATCAAGGCATATGTCTGCGGGCGGTGCAATGACATTCCAGCAACATCAGCTGCAACAACGGTTTTTACTTAGCCACGCGCCCTTGTCCACAATGTCACCGCCCTTGGAACGTTGCACTTCCCGAGCGACACCAACAACTTTGGCAACAACAACCGCAACTACACCATCGCCAACATTGTTGTTTGTGCCCCATGCTGCAAGAACTCCAACTACACCGAACCTCTCCTCATTCTATGACACGGAGACGGATCCGGCTTTTGGTGAAGGCTCTACTATGTCTTTTAAGAAGGAGTACAATGACGCTTTGTTAGATATGACTGCCACAACAACGGCAAGTGACGTCATAAGCGGTCTGCCCGATGAGAATATCATCGAGGTATTGGACTGGTGGGAGGCGCACACACCGAAATCCGAAGGCGGTGTGGCATTGCTGTAAGAGGCAGTTATTTTTCCGGGGTTTAAGGGGGTAATTTCTACGAAATTAATTCGCATTGTTGCGAAAATTGTTGATGACGCTTACATTTTTCGAAAATGAAAACAAATAGTTATACGAAAAAGTGAATATATATATAATATGTGTATTTATATATTTATTACTTAGCATATATATGTATATATTTTATATTTGAAATAAGATTTGTGTATAAAAAATTATAATATTTAAGAAATTCATACGTACACCAGTTAATGTCAATATTTTGAGCGAAAACTGCAGAGTAAAAACAAAAAGAGTCACAAAAAAAAGCAAAGCAAGCCTTAATTTTAAGTTTTTTTCGGAAGACAATTGATTAAGTTTATAAAAAAAAATCTCATTAAATTGATTTCGGTTAAGTTATAGTTAAAGTTATTTTATAAAAATATTTGTACTGATAAAAATTCGAATATAATTTATTTTTTACAATAAAAATTTATTTCTTTTGATTACAAGTACTAGATATAGACTCAAATACATATCTCCATAATCTATAATTGGCGCTTTGTAACCGCTGTAGTGATTTTTCGGCCGACTTCCTCCTTCAATTTTTGGTTTTGCGTCTTGATGTTTTTCGAGCAAATGGAGGGACTTACAGCTTATACTAGGCCACCTCCAAGCGGCTGATGGCTTTTTTATTTAGAAAAAGTAATTTTCTATAATTTGAATGTTGTTCGAACCAACACTTGAAGTGCGTTCCGAGTAGCGATACGCAAAACTAACCACTCGGCTATTGTAGATGAGATAGGCGTTAAGACCAGAAAGTTTGCGGATATCGTTTTTTCGATATACGCGGTTTGATTCATCATGAATTCGTTCCAACGGGATAGACGGTCAATAAAAAGTATTATTTGAGTGTCTTGAGAGTATTATATCCGTCGTAAACGACCGGAATTATGGGCCAACAGTTTCCGGAAACTTTCCTGATGACAATGCGCCATCGACCGAGCTGTAGTCGTAAACGATTTTAAGGCCAAAAAGTTGTTCAATACTATTGATCCATCACCGTATTCATCTGATTTGGTCGCACGGAATCCGTTTCGACTCGATTGAGGCCGTGAAAAAAGTTGCCACAGTGAACTGCGGTCGACTGATTTCAATAGTTGCTGCAAGCAAACTGGTCTGGACACATCGCGGTAATTTTTGGCATAGTGATAAAGGACAGTGCTGCCAACTTAACAAAAAAGGTGCTGCAAAATATTCTGCGCAGGCAGTTTAATGACGATTCCCGGAAACCTTCTGGTCTTAAATGTGTACTCCCAACATCAGAGTGACGTACTATTGATATATTCGAACAGAATTCGATAGTCCAATCGGACTATTGTTTCAAATAACTTCAATAGAACTAGGTTTTCAGATATGTTTGTGACTTCATTTCATAAATCTATAATAGAGCATCCAAATAGTTGAAATTTTTATAGTCTGCTCAATCGCTAAGATCAAAATATTAATATAGAAAATCATTGCAATCGACAATCCGTAACGTTTTCATCAAAAGACGATTGAAAATATGAAATTTTCCCTTGAAGCGAAGCAAAGAGAGTTTCAAACTCCAAGATTTTTTCGTAGACCAGCAGAGCTCAATGAATGGTGAAGGTATTACATGTACAAACCGCTTGGCTGCAGCTCCAAAGAAATGACCGCGTACGACTATGCAGATCAAATAATTGACGATCTAATGATGATTAAAGTGGAAAGCGAATGACTGAATGACGGAAGCTAGAGTAAATTTTGCTTTGCTCCAAAGGAAAATTTTTCAAAACCCAAAAGAAATGCTACTCCACAAACAAGCACGAAAAGGCGCAATCCGTAACGTGGTTATTTGAATACTTATTAAACTTCAGTAAAAAAAAACAAGAAAGTCTTCATCAAACATTTGCTTCCAAAAGTGAAAAGTGAATATCCATTATAAGACCCTTCTTTAACGGAATTCTGGAGAAAAAATACTACGATCTTTAGCGCTAAGTCGTGAAGGTAAAAGAGATGGTCAGAAGATATCAAAAACATTCAAATGAATCGCCGCGTAACTTTTTCCGTAAACAAGGAAGCAAAGAGAATAGGTCTGGTAGTAAAAAAAACACTGGTCGAAATGAATATCAGATCTCTCATAACAGTAAGTATGACGGCAACTTAGGCATTAAACGCAAAGTCCTACGAAAACCTGTTGTGTGCCATTTGGAAATACGGAGTGGAGATCTTCATTTTTTCCTGATTAGACCGGCGGTTAGTGGATCGATAACTTTCAAAGCTGGGGTATTCTGATTTATTCGGACCACATGACCTAGCCAACATAGTCACTGTCTATTGATTCGCTGAACTGTGTTGAGTAACCTGTACAACTCATCTTTTCGTTAGCTGCATTATTTGCCATTCACAATTCTTAAAGGGTCATAAATCTTACTCAAAACTCTTCTTTCAAAAACTAAAATATTGTAACTTCTCTATTCAGCTCATCAGCTCATATCATTTTCTCAAACAAAAGATTAATAAAGTCATCTTGCATGAACCCTCGTTTGGTATTAAATGTCTCGAAGAGGTTCTTCCCGATCCTGACGAAGCTTTAGGTGTTCCATAAGATCAGTTTACACAGCAGTGTTTTGCGGGGATACCAAATTCACACATAAGGCATAGAGGAATGTAGGTCCCTTAATATCTGTGAATATTTGGTCAATGGTGGACTTACTAGTTCTAAAGTCACCGCGGTGGCCGAATGGTTACCATTGCGTACTTCCTTTCGAAGGGAATTGATTTAAATCCCAGTGTCGTACTAACACCAAAACATAAAAATAATTTAAATAACAAATTAAGTAAAATTTTGTAATTGTAGTCGCCTCGCGGCTGGGAATGTTAACCCCTCCTCATAAAAAAAACCATCAGCCGTTCGGAGGCGGCTTGGTATGAACTTTAGATCCCTTGATATCCAAGCTCTCAAAGATTTTCCCAATCGCTTATTAACGCAAAAATTTACGACTACTTCTTTACTGTTATTTATATAACCTCTAACTCTTGCCATAAAACTCTTCTATTTCCAACTTAAGCCTGCCAATTCACATGCTTATTTACATATATGTTACAGATATAAAAATCAGAGCAAATACCAAAATTAATGATAGAGTTAATTGTATTTAATATGGCCAAGGAATTAAAAATACAATGAAAGCTAAAGCAAATTATCCTGTTTATATACACATAATACCACAAGTTATCCTTTCGCTACATAAACAGACAATGAAAAGCCGTTAAAAATGCTTATCTCCCGCTTTTTTTTTTACAACTATTTCTAGAAACGAAACATGAAATGCACAAACGGGACAATACCAGAGCAGAAACCACAAGTAAAGCAAATATGGGCAAACCGGAAACGACCTGCAATGATCATATATGTCTGTATGTGTGTAATTATACATGATCATGCTGTATATACTATATGCGTATGTATGTTTCTCAGCACAAGAATCATTAATAGCACAACAAGCGCAATAAAATTAATGAACAAAACTGAAAGCACCAAGGCAATTTATGGCAACTATGGCACGTAGATATGTAAATGTATGAAACGCACACATGTACATATGTATATGAGTATGTCCATTAAGTAACATTTGTTGGTGTCTTATGAAAATTTAAAAGCATTTTATTCACGTATGTATATATTATATGTGCATATATGTATATGCATGGGAAATGGTGAGAACCAACTAAGACCAGCAACACGCTGACACCCAGTCATTAAGCCTACAGGACATAAAGTAGCTACTAACGGTAGTGTCCCAAATAAGTAAATTTATGTATGGAAATATTTACATGCACGAATGTGCGAGTTAGATATACAATATGCATGTGTGTTGGTTAAGAGCATGCGCGTGTGTATCTAACTGTCTGTCACCAACGGTTTTCAAGCAAAGACCGCTCCTTTTAATTCTCACTTTACTTTTTCCCTCCTCCGTTGTCTTTCGATCATTATAATCTTCGTATGCGTCCAAGTATACAAAGCATATGCTATAGCTGGCCAAAGTACCGGAGGGGTGTAGCAGCAAACGATGGCCCGTTGACAGTGAAGCACATTCAGTCTTCATGCAATAAATGCTAAGTAATGTTAGATGATGCACAGGCGTCACAAGGAATTCCTTACTCATCGTTTTCCTTTGACAAAAGTGAAGCAGAATATTCAAATGAGTGGAGTAGAGCGCACAGAGAAGGGCAGGCGAAGACCGAATGCCATCAAATGATATGCAAGTGAAGAGACTGTTGGCGGTTACAGAAGCGAAAGGTCCTGCTTATGGTTGAGCGCATACATATATGTGAAATACATAGATGTATATACCATTAATGAATATCAAATAATATTTTACCTTTGGTCTAAAATGGGAGGATCTGTCGTTAAAGGCAGTTATATCTACATTGGAACCATGGAATAGCTCAAGCCAACAGCGGCTAGTTCAAAGGGAGTTCACTATGCGAAAATGATATACTCTTTCTGCGAACGAAGAGCGATCCTCAACGAGCTCGTCTTACGAGTATGGATCAGAAACATGAACGAGGTCTGCACCCGATAAATAGCATAAGGCAAGTAGGTTCCATCGAATTCAAACTAACACCGGTTACCGGTTTTAATAGTACTCTAACATTAAAGCTAGATCTGCCTTTGAGACTTCTTCTTCATCTTCTCTGAACTGCGTCGTGTTCTTGATAAGGCCGTGAGAGTGCAGGAATTCCTGCATGTATCTCTATAAGAAATGGGTTCTTGGTACGCATGTGATGACGGTGGATTCTGGCCTGTCATTAGACCGGCAATCGTCTTGTAATCCCTTACAAATCGCTCGAGTAATAATTAGCTGTATTCTTCTTTCACGACCTCAGCGTGTGATCTTGATGGTCTCGCAGTTTTCGTGTGCTCTTAAGTAACTCTCAATGATTTTTTTTCCAAAAGGTTTCAGCAGTGCTCTCACCATACTTGGTGATAGTATACGAAGGATATTTAAGGTTTAACTAAATTTCTGTTGTTTAGAGAGAAGCACACACCAAAGTCATTGAGAGCAAGTCCTCCCTTTTCAATATATGTAGGCCTAGACAC